ATAAAATAGAAGGTATCTCTCTCCCAGCCTACTTCTTATGTCCTTCCAGAAACATTCTCTATATGCAAAGGAGAATATATATAAATGTGTACATATATAATCACAAAGTATGTATTATATATGTATGTATTAACATTGGCACAAACACAAACATTGTTATGCATGCTGTTTTTTTCACTTAATATATCTTGGCTTTCTTTATATCAATATTCATCTTTTTGTTTATTTTTAGCCAGATGTTAATGAGGAGAAGGAAGATATACTTGAATCCTTTGCAAAACCTTTACAAAATCTTTATAAAATGCTTTCATATGCAGAATAGAAATACTTCTTGCCATTCAATAAGATGGGAGTCACCAGAATGTTTCACCTCCTAGACCAGAGCTGTTCAGTAGTAAGATAATGTGAACTAGATATGTAATTTTAATCTAGTAGTCATATGAGAAAAAAGTAAAAAGAAACATATGAACTTTTTTTTAGTAATATGTTTTATTTAACACAATGTATCTATAATATTACCATTGCAATATCCAGTCAATGGAAGCAATTATTAGTGAGATGTCTTATGTTCTTTTCTTCTTGGTCTTTGAAATATAGCCTGTATTTTGTACTTAGAATACATCTTAGTTTGACTAGCCGTATTTCAAGTGTTCAATAGACAGATTTGGCTGGTAGCTACTGTATTGAACAGTATAGTTCTAGGCCTTCTTACTTACCAATAGTTTTAACTAGAAATAATTTCTGCACAGAAACCTAAAGTTTTATTCACTAACATCTAATTTTGAAATAAGACTTCAGATGATACATAGATTTTCTTTTAAAATGAAATATTAGGAGACACCTGGATGGCTCAGTCAGTTGAGCCATGACTCTTGATTTCAGATCAGATCATGATCCCAAGGTTATGGGATTGAGCCCTGAGATGGGCTCCGTGCTGAGCATGAAGCCTGCTTGGGATTCTCTCTCCCTCTTTTTCTGCCCCTCTCCCCGCTCTCTAAAGTAAAATTAAAAAATGAAATATTGAGCCAATGTTTTTAGTTGCAGATTGATTCTGCTTTGTTTGTTTCTGATTGGTGGCAATGCTCTTTTAAATAGGCACATATTAAATGTTTGTATATTCTTCTTTATACTTCTACTTTATTTGTTACGAGGTCTCTTTGTCAGTATTATAATTTAATTCCTATTGTTTAGCTATATCCTAAGAAACCATATGTCTTAAATATTCTTAAAATAATAACACAACTGAATTTTTCTAAAATTGGTATAATCAAGTTTGTAAAAAATTCATTTTTTAATTTTAAGTAGGAAGTGCATTGAAAATGTTTATAATGCATTCTGCCAGTTATAAATGGTAGAATTTAATGACACCATATATAGACTGAAAACACACACAAAAAAAATCTTTCCAGGTGGGTCCCATGTGTTTTCCCTTTGTCCAGGATAACAGAGAAGATAAAGATAAATAAATGATTTCATGGTGTAAACTGAAGCCACTCAATAAATATTTCAGTGCTTAATGGAACATCTGATGACCAGAGGATTTTAATTTATTTTTTATTTTTGTTTTTGTTTCCTACCCCCTCCTTTGTCACATATACCATCCAGAAAGTTAAATTTTCTTAAAAGATTCCATATTCAAACCCTGAGCATTGTAAGCAAAATAAGCAGTGATAAAAATTTACTGAAGGAATCCGTAGACAAACCAACATTATAGCAGAAATGTACACATTAGATTAGAAAACAATTTTCAATCCATGTTGACTATTTTAGTATAAGTATGTGGTTTTAAAGTCTTTTACATTTTATTAAAATTTTATTAAGCCCAGGGAAGTTGAAATTTTCTTGTTAAATTCTTGAAGGAAAAAACTAAAATTTTCCTTAATACATTCATTAAGTGAAAGAAAATAAAGTGTTTTGATATGCTTACTTATTGCATATTCAGGGCAAAAGTGGTCAGGTCATACTCATGTCTACTAGAATCCAGCCACGTGGTGCTAAAGCTAGAGGCCTCCAGACACCTGGATGCCTCAGTCGGTTAAGTGCTGACTTCAGCTCAGGCTATGATCTCACAATTTGTGAGTTCAAGCCCCACATCAGGCTCTGTGCTGACAGCTCAGAGCCTGGAGTCTGCTTTGGATTCTGTGTCTCCCCCTCTCTCTCGGCCCCTCTTCCATTTGTTCTCTCTCTCTCTCTCTCTCTGTCAAAAATAAGTAGACATTTAAAAATAGAAGAAAAAGATGGAGGCCTCTATAAACTGGCTAAGTCTGGAAGGGTAATGGAAGGGCATAGATGGGCTGGGACACACAAAAGACACAAGACATTCCGGGCAATAATTGCCTTCCTCTCCTGATTCTGCACAGTTGACATTTCTGGTTCAGTAAAAAATATCAGTAGACGAATAGAAAACATGAAAGAAACACATACCTCTAGGATTGGTTTCTAGATTATAGTTCCTGCTTCAGACTCACTGAAGTGACCAGCCTCTGCCCCCAAACGACCAACTAGTCCAAATACTGAATTGAAAAACTGCTCATGTTCTCTCACTATGTTCTACCTGTGCATGCCCCCCACTTAAGCCAGAGAACAGCCCTTATTCTGCCAACCTGCGGTCAGTTACTTCCCTACAGCCCCTAACCTTTAGTATCTTTGGTATCCTTTGTGGGTGTTGAGTGCTACAACTGTCTAGTATTGGTATCACCTTGCCTTCATATCCCAAAGCCCCCCATGCAAAAAGAGTTTTAGCATTCTGTTCTGGTGGGCAGCTGGGACCGCCCCCTCATTGTATTCCAGGGGAAAATAGCCATCAGCATCTTCTTTGCTATGCGCACACTATTTAATCCAGTCTGCTGGCACTAGTCTATGGTATTCTGTTTGCCCTCACTGTAACTGCATAACAACCTCTATTATTTAAAAACAAAAATCCTTTGTTTATAAACATTTCCTAGGATGTAAAATCCAAACTTCAACTTTCAAAGGGACACTTGCTTTCTGTCTACAAAGAACACTAAGAAAAACCTAACAAGGAAAAGCCACAATAGGTCCTCAGTGAAGCCAGTCTTGAGGTTAACAACAGTAGACTCTCCGTTCCATTCTCGAGGATATATGGACAGCTACAGTGAAGAAATACCGACAGAGCTTCTCCCAGAGACTCTGATTCTATGAGAACACATTATTCCCTTCATGATCAGGACTGGAGCTTACTGCGTACAACCCATGTTTCTAAATAGACTTGTAAGTAAAGACAGTAAAGTATCTCTGCACAAGTCGTATAGTTTCCAATAAGAAAAAGGAATATTCCCCTTATCTTAATAAACAGAACAGAACTTTTTTTGTTTGACAATTTGAAGAGTCTGTGTGTTATGAACTGACTGTACAAGGCAGAAAAGAGCAGTGTCCTGGATTTCATGCTGAATTCTTGCAGTTTGCTAACACTTTGATTTCCTTCCCAAAACAGATGGGACTCCATTTCCAAAAGCATACCTAGATTATTACACATGATGTGGAGGTCACTCATTTAACTCGGAGATGTTTCTCTGGTGCCCATCACCAAACTCTCTTGAGACGTTAATAAATAGCTGGAGAACGGGCCTTTCCATATGCTAAGGCTGGCTTCAGTGGCTCTCCTGAGTTCTGAGCAAGTTGGTCAGGGGCTGAAGGAGCAGCCTGAGTTCTGCTAGGAGCATGGTGCAAATAATGCACAGATGTAGTGCTCATGGGAAGACTACACGTACTTGAAGTGGTGAAAATGTAGTTCCATAACACTTGCACCCAGACTACTTACAGTGACCGGTAATTAAAATTGTACAGCTCGACATCCAGAAACAATTGATGGTGCGCGGTATTCATTACATGACGATGAAGCATCCAGCCACCCTGGCTTTACTTTTGTGCAGCAGTATGTCCCTTCTTCTACACACCCCTGTCTTTCATCTTCTATTGATGCTTGTTTGGTTTTCTCGGCAGTTTCCTCAGTGTATTGTGCTCGAAAGGTATGAGAGGAAAAAGGAAAAGTACAACTCAAAACAGTTGACTCTATTACTCTAAAAAAAATAAAGTCATAAAGATGTCCTATAATTCTTAATTTTACGGTCCTTCAATTGTCACCTCCCAGCCATAAAGAAACAGTCATTGATATGCTCTGCACATCACCAATCTAAAGCTTTCAGGAACTGTTCATGTAAAAGCAAAGTTCGTTTCCGTTTTCCTCAATACTGGGCTCTGGAGATTTTCTTTTTCTTTTTTGGTGTAGAGGTTATGTCACTCCCATGTGTCCAGACCATAAATCAGATCTCCTTTAGGGGGACTGCTTTTCCAGCTGGCCTCTCATGTCATTGCATTAGTCAGTGAAGGTTCTCAAGAAATAGACTGATCAGATTGTTACTCTTAAAATAGTTAAAGGAAACAACTCTAATTTCAAATATTTGCATTGATAGATTTATATGAAAACGTGTGTGTTTATTTTGCAGGATACTGGTTTAGAAACAGGACTGTCATTTTAGCTAAACCTACTTTTAGTGGATATAAAAGTGTTGCTTTTTTTAGTTGAAGGGATAAACTTTCCTCATGTGAAGTACTTTTCTGCTGCTCCGATGCTGTTCATGTAGCCTGTCTGTTTTTTGCTCTAATCTGGGCCTTGCCTTCCAATTCTTCATCACACTTAAGGATATGTCTGACTCCAAATAGAATCAGTCGAAGATCAGTTTAGATGGTAAGATCTGAAATTAGAAGTTTAGAGTAGGAGGGAGTACCATTTGCTCTGGTCAAATGGCACCCAAAAGTGTGGCACAGACATCGCAGTGAGGATGCTGTTTACTTTCTCTTGCACACCTGTTTCTGACAGCCCACAGTCACAGCTCCACCCCTATTCATACGTTCTGAAAAAAGCGAGTATAGAATAGTCGCTTACTCGGTATTTATGGAATAAGCCGTTATGTAATGACAACAGAATCAGTTAAACATACATTTTTTTTCTCTTTTTATGCACTACTTGACATCAAAAGCAAAAAGAGGTAAGTTGGCTATGAACTTGTAGGTGAACCTCATTTCCTTTAATATATTTATTCCTGAGTAGCTTTGCTTCAAACAAGTTTCTATAAGTTAAATACTTTTACGTTAGGAAGCTTTTCATTGTAAATCCTTATTCTTTGAAAAATGAATAAGCACCTTCTGTAAACCTGGATTCTAAAAATATTTAATATCTAAAGATACTGCTTTTCCTCTGAGTTATACTTAGGGTTTGATTCACTTCTGAGGACATAGTGCATTTTGTAACACTTGGTTTAGTTCAGGGGTTTCTGAATTGTTTCCCCCCCAAAATATGGATTAAATCAGGATTTCTTCTTTTCTAAGAAAAGTGAAAAAGGCCAAGAAACAGCTGACATTGGTGAAAACCTATAATTTTCAGATCCATCGCTTTACAGAAGAGGATGCCCTGAACCTCTCAGAATATTTTCTAGTGTTGGGGTTTTTTTTTAATGATAAAAAATATTAAATAAGCAAATCAAACACATTTCACGGAGTGGTGTCTCATATGTTTTTCTTTTCGGGATATATTTTTACAATTGATCTTTTTAGTGGGTTTTCGGTGGTAGTTTGTTTAACTTATTTCTCTTTTGTGTCTTTTTGATGATGAATTAATTCTGACATTTCAAGGGTATAGCTGGTCTTCATCTGCCACGTGCTATAACTGAGTTTGCTGAATGAGAACAGACCATCATACCACCTTGAGTTAACTCTGTGCCAACTACCATTGTCCTTGGGAAAGGTCATTTCTGAACAACAGGCTATTTTCTAAAAGGTGTCTAATTGGTGTAAGAATCTGGCAGCAAAATGTACTTTTACCTCTTGGTGCCACTGTATTTCATCCACCTCCCCTCCTTTATCTTCTGTCTTTCCCACCATAGGAGTTGATTACATGTGCTCATGGTTTCATTATACATTGTTCAGAAGCAGAAGGTTGACTATACTGCAGGGCATTTTTATATTTCTCTTTCGCAAGGTTTGAAATAAAAAATAGATTGTGAATATTGCTTTGTTTTATCAGCTAGTCATATGATATCCATCAGGACAGCAAATGGAAAGCTGGATGAGAGTTTTTGTCTGATCTATAATGACTGAAAGGTCTAAAGATGCTCCCTCTCCTTCGCAAGCCATGCTCTGATTCTACATCATTGAAGACAATTTTAATGCTTGTCACCAAAATGTGATAAACTATATGCAGTTGTCATTTGTATGAAGGTGGAGCCAGATGTTTTTTAAAGATTTGTTATCAGGTCATATTTGTGCATTGTCTATATTGAATTTTTTCTATGTATTTCAACAATTCTGTCTTTACTGTTCTCTGGAAAATTTTAATGAATGATGATTGTTTCTATCACGGGTATAAACATAAAATGGAACTTGCTGTGTTAAACACTGATGGAAAGATAAGGCTGAAGTGTCTGGTGACATGATTTAGCAGATTACACTCCTGTGTAGTCAGAAATAAGGCTATTATGTCTTATCAGTGGATACTTCCAGAGAAACTAATGTATTAACAGGAAATGTTGTATGTTTTGCAAAACGGGATGAGATAGCCAACTCTATGTGTTTGATTATAAAATGCTAAAAGTTGATTCACAGCTATCCATTTTTATTAGTGTCAATGCACCATTAAGTTCATCATTTAGGATTTTACAAAAATTTCAACTTTTCCTAATTGCTGTTTATATTTATGTCAATGTTTCTATCTCACGCTCTCCTTATTAATTTTCTTTATATAATGTTTCTACTTTAAATATTTCTTATTTTTTCCTAAGTTCTCTACTCTGTATATCTGGGTTTGTTTGTGTTTTTTTTTCCATTTATGTGTATAGGCATCCATAGGACTATTTAAGTGTTCAAGCCATTACTATTAGGAGAATGTATTTTGATGCTTCTTTCCATTATCTTTTCTGTTAATTCACTAACACATTATTAATCATTTTGTAGATTTAGTGAGGAATAATTTAGTATTGATGTTACTTGGCACCCTTTAAATAATGGCAATTAAAATTTTTTTTCAAGATTTATACATCCAAGTTTTATAATTATCAAAGAAGAGTTAATCACCCATTATCACTAAATTAGCTTTAAAACCTCTATCAGATAGTATTTCCTCTTTCTTACTTCTTTCTTTCGAAAGATGATGATAGGAATGCCTAACTGTAAACTCTCCCTTCTTCAAGTGGGTCCATCAGACAATGCATTAATAAAGTACTAATAAAGAAACAAACCCAAGGATCCTTTAGGGAAGGTAAAATCAGTATATTAACGAGTATTTTTCACCACATGCATCCCCAAGCAAACTACTGTGGGAAAACGAAGAATTATAATGATAACACAGGGTCCTCTCTCTCTGAACCCCAGAGAGTGACCAAGGAGTTTAGATATACTGCAAGGACAGCAGTGGTCAAAGCTATATACAAAAGGGGTTTAGGGGAAGTGAATGCTTTCCCCTGGGTGGTTAGGAATAAAAACAAAACTTGTTAGTTCTGAATGGTCCAAGAGAAGAGCATTTCAAATGAATGTAATGATAGGGGGGAAAAAAAAATCATTGCCAAGATGATTTCATCATATGGTCTATCTTGGCTTTTTTAAATTTTATTGTTGGCGAAGGCATTTACTTTGTTTCTTCAAGCTGAAAAGCTCACGGTCACCTTGACTTCTTCCCATTGTCCCTCATGTGTAACCAATGACCACTTCCTGTCAATGGACCTGGGCTATATGCTTTCACAGACATTCTCTCACCTGGTGTGCAAAGTTGTATTTAATGTCCTCACTCAACAGAAAAACTGAAGCTCAGAAAAGTTAAGTCACTTCTTCAGTGTCCCTCAGCTACTGTTTGTTTGATGGAGCAGGATCTAACCACAAAGGTCTCTCTGATGGACTTTAAATCTCATGCTGAAATGGAGGGAAGTCAAGGAGCACAGGGGTGAGAGAATAGAGAATGAGGAGGAAGGCAAGGAACCACCGAGAATTGCTGCAGAAGCATCGTTGGCAGATGGAAGAAAATTACTGTGATTAACCCATTATCTGTCCCCAAGGATTATTGTGTAAAGCCCTCACTTAAGACCTGGCTCTGTGCACAAGTATGGCAGTAACTAATCATGGGGAGCGTCTTTGTGCTGTTATCTGCAAATAACCAGAATTCCTGAGTTTGGGAGGCTTTTCTTTAATAATTATGCGATTTTTCTGTCTCCACTTCAATGCACAGTGCCTAGAAACTTGTATTCTCTGCTAACTACTCAAATATCATATTCTGTCATCAGTTTAGTTTTCCCCAGTACCACTGATTTGACCACTTTGACGTTTAAAATGCTTTTTTGCTAAGAAGGAAGTCAGTAAAAATTTGAGTACAGGCATTCATTTAGAATTTGTGCTTTTGTCTTTTGTATATGTCTTTTCCCCTGAGTTTCCCTGAATTAAAAAGTATACATTTGTTTTACAACCCTTAGACTGTAAGTTTGGAAAAAAATTTAAGTTCTCAGTTTACTTAGGCTAGAAAGGTACTGGGTATGGAGTAAGAGATAAGAGTAGGGGTGAAAATTGCTTCCACTTGGGAGCAATTAACAAAGGCTCCTTATTACTTTGCTAGGACTCCCATAACAAAAGACCACAGACTGAGGGGCTTAAACAATATACATTTATTTATCCGTAGTTCTGGAAACTAGAAGGCCAAGATCAAGGTTGAGCAGGATTGGTTTCTCTGGATGCCTCTCCCCCTGGCATGGAGATGGCCACCTTCTCCTCACATGGCCTATGTGAGCCCTTCCCTGGTGTCTGTGTTCTCGGTCTCCAAATCCCTTCTGCTCATAAGGCTATCAATCAGATTGGATTAGAGTTGACCCTAAGGCAGCAGCATTTCCACTTAATGACCTCTTTAAAGATCCTATTTCCAATATACAATAGTTACATTCTGAGGTAGTGGTAGGGCTTCCAACATACGAGTTTGGGGCGACAAAATTTAGTCCATTACAGGCTCGTTGGGGCATTCCACTGGGCTTGTGTGCCTCTCTCTGCAGGGGTACAAAGAACATCACTTTAACCCTTCTGATCCTCAGTGTCCTGATATCGAAAATGAGGATCATGACAACTAAACTCAGTTGAGTTTTGTGAGCCCGAAAAAGCTTTTGTTCACTATAAAAATCATACAGAAGGTGACCATGCACAAACTCCTTAACCTTCTTAGGCCTCAGTTTCTCATTTCTAAAGTAAAAATAAATCCTGTCTCTTTAAGTTTTTTTAGGCATGAAAGAGCTGTTGCATGCAAAATCCTTAGCCTGATGTCTGCATATATACAGCACTTACTAAATGTTCCATGTTACCATTATTTCTCATCTTCTTTCTTCTACATTCCTTCTGCTCTTCTTTTTCTGTCATTGCCCAAATCCCAACAAGTAACTAGTTTGCAAGCATATGGCCAGGTGTGTGGAAAGAAGAAAGAGGAATATTCTTTCATCTTTCATAAGGCCGCAAAAAAAGATGTCTCTATGTTTTGATTATTAACTAGGGAGTTATTTTAGGACAATCTATAACTATCTCTGTCGACGTTCTGTTTAATAACTTTCGTCATTACACATTTTTTCTTTTCTACTATTAATCGTCTGTCCTCACTGAAGGGTCCTTACTGAATATTGACCATTTACTCCAAGTAGGTAAGACTTCTGTTCCAAAGTGATATCCATTTGAAAATAACAATAATGTCAATATTTATGACAGCAGTTGTTTAAGTGGGTAAATTTAATTACTGAACCCATCTTTCTTTAACAGTCTTGGAAATAGTATATCAAGTTAACACGGGTATTAACTGTCTCACCAAGAGGCATGTTTGCCATTTGTATCATGGATTTTCATTTTTCCCGCCAAGTTTTGAAGTATATGAGTTGCCATTTGTAAATGAGAAAGGAAAGAAAAGGGAAAACACATATGCTGTTCCTTCTCACTTTTCTTGTTGAAGAAAAAATGCTAAAAAATCATGGCCATATGAAAG